CCTGACTTAGAAATATATCGCCGTTCCTTCACTGTCACTGGGTCAAAATCCTGGAATTCCGTCCCGAAGGACATTGTGGATCAACCTGCAGCATGTGGACTGCAGTGGTTCAAGAAGACAGCTCACCACCTTCTCAACGGCAACTATGGATGGGAAATAAATTCTGGCCAGCCAGCGATGCCCACAATTCACGAGTGAAGTTAAAAAAGATCCACATGGATTCTATAGGAAGCGAGGGAAGAGATCGCAGGGCCTTTGGCAATGATCTTTTCGTCCTCACTGTCCACGGGTATAGTGCCAGAAGATTGGAGAGAGGCAAATGTCATTCCCTTGTTCAAAAAAAGGAACAGGGATAACCCTGGAAATTACAGGCCAGTTAGTCTTAAGTGGTTAAGTCTCAGTGGTGGGCAAATTATTGGAAAGGGCTCTGAGAGGTAGGATTTATGATCACTTGGATAGGCACAGTTTGATTCATGATAGTCAGCATGGATTTGTGAGGGGTAGATCATGCCTCACAAACCTTATTTAATTCTTTGAAGAGGTGACCAAACACATGGATGAAGGTAGAGCAGTGGCTGTCGTATACATGGATTTAAGTAAGGCATTTGATAAGGTTCCCCATGGTAGGCTCATGCAGAAAGTAAGGAGGCATGGGATAGGGGGAAATGTGGCAGTTTGGATTCAGAATTGGCTGACCCTTAGAACTCAAAGGGTTGTGGTGGACAGAAAATATTCAACATGGTGCTCAGTTACGAGTGGTGTACCACAAGGATCTGTTCTGGGTCCTCTTCTATTTGTCATTTTTGTAAATGATTTGGATGTAGGAGTAGAAGGGTGGATTAGTAAGTTCACAGACGATATGAAGGTGGGTCACATTGTGGACAGTGCGGAGGGCTGTTCTAGGTTACAAAGGGACATTGATAGAATGCAGAGCTGGACTGAGAAGTGGCAGATGGAGTTTAACCCTGAAAAATGTGTGGTGATTCATTTTGGAAGGACAAATTTGAAAGCAGAATACAGGGTTAACGGAAAAATTCTCGGCAGTGTGGAGGAGCAGAGGGATCTTGGGGTTCATGTCCACAGTTCCCTGAAAGCTGCCACCCAGGTGGATAGAATTGTCAAGAAGGCGTATGGTGTGTTAGTTTTCATTAATAGAGGGATTGAGTTCAAGAGCTGTGAAGTTATGCTCCAGCTATACAAAAGCCTGATTTGGCCACATCTGGAGTATTGTGTCCAGTTCTGGTCTCCTCATTACAGGGAAGATGTGGAAGTGTTGGAAAAGGTGCAAAGGAGATTTACCAGGATGTTGCCTGGAATAGAGGGAATGTCTTATGAGGAAAGGTTGAGAGAGCTAGGGCTTTTCTCTTTAGAATGATGAAGGATGAGAGATGACTTGATAGAAGTGTACAAAATGATCAGAGGTATAGATAGAGTGGACAGCCAGAGACTTTTTCCTAGCATGGAGGTAACTATTATGAGGGGGCGTAGTTATAAAGTGAGTGGAGGTAGATATAGGGGAGATGTCAGAGGTAGGTTCTTTACTCAGAGAGTGGTAGGGGCGTGGAATGCATTGCTGGAGAGGGTAGTGGAGTCAGCCTCATTAGGGGCATTTAAGCAGCTATTAGATAGGCATGTGGATGATAGTATAAGGTAGGGGTGGAGGTTAGATAGACCTTAGGTTTAGAGTAAAAGTTCGGCACAACATCGTGGGCCGAAGGGCCTGTACTGTGCTGTACTGTTCTATGTTCTATGTTCACATTGTGTGCAAGGTGACTTGTGGCCTGGCAAAAGCATGCAAGTCTTGGATTTCGTGGAACTCCAAAGTAAAGTGCCACTAAACTGGTGTAACAATTGGTCCAAGAGCAGGAATGATGATGTGGTTAGGGAAATGGATTGCCAATGCCTGATTTGCATGGACAAAGAGTCATGGAGGATAGTGTTCATGGAGTATGCAGGAACATTGTGCTGAAGATAATTGGATAATGATTAGGACAAGCAATTGGTGAGCTGTAGCCACCATATACCCACTATGATTTTCATATCTGGAATCTGTGACATTTAGTTTTACAGGAGGAAGAAGAGAGAATAAATAAGATGAGTTTGGCTATTAATGAGATGCGAACGGGTAGAAACAAGATAGTCACCGCTCAATAGTGAGATTCTGATGTTCACGTTTAAAGCTTAACGGGAAAATCACAAAACCTTTTCTCAATGTCAAGATTCTCTTTTATTTATTTCAACAATATTTTCTTAAATTTCTTGCCATAGTTCACACACCAGGGAGGGGAAAATTCCAACCAAAAATGTTTTTTGTCAGTTTTCATAAGTCTTTCACCTGTTTCTGGGAAGGCAGCGGTGTAGCAGTAAAGTCATTAGACTAGTAATCTAGAACTATTCTGAAGAAGGGTCACTGGCCCTGAAACATGAACTCTGCTTTCTCTTCACAGATGCTGCTAGACTTGCTGAGTTTTTTCAGTAATTTGCGATTTTTTATTTCTGATTTCCACATCTGCAATTCTTTCAGTTTTTTGTTTAATAATCCAGAAGCTAGACTAATATTCCAAGCACGTGTGTTTAACTTCCACCATGCCAGATGGTGAAATTTGAATTCAGTAAAAGATTGAAATGAAAAAAAGCTAGTCTAATGATGAAAATATAACCATATAATCAATTGTCATAAAAATGAATCTGGTTCAGGAAAGGAAATCTGTCATTCGTACCTAGTCTGGCCAACACATGACTGCAGACGCACAGCAATGTGGTTGACTCTTAATTGTCCTCTGACTCTTAACTGAACCTGCTGACAGCTATATTGTTGCCAAAGTCCTTCTCCCACCCCACCCTGCCCCAACTCTCCCATTACCCACATGTGGCCTAGATCTTTGAGATTCTCAAGTTGGTGCAGTAGCCACTGTTGTCCAATGACACTACTGAGCAGTGAAGAGCTACCAGTGTCTGATGGTCAGCAGGTCTTGCAGCCTGGAACTTCTGCCCCTTGAGTCCTTGATCTCACCATCACTATCCAGTTGAGTGCCTGATTAGCTCTTGTTGTGACAGGTCTTCCCAAAAAACCAACTGATTAACCGTGGTGATGGAAAACCCCCTCTAAAATCAATTATTCTGGATAGGATTAATAATCACGTGGTAAGATATGGAAAAGTCAGCATGGAAGTGTTATGGGAAAATCACATTGTACTAACTTGCTAGACTTTTTCAAGAGATGTCAGCCAGTTATTGAAGGCAACATGGTTCAGGTGGTGTATGGGGACTTCCATAAGATGTTCAGTTCAGTGCCACACAATAGTCTTGTGACAAAAGTTATAGCTCATGGAATAAAAGAGCCTGTAGCAACATAGATAAAACATTGACTTAGGGATAGGAAACGGGCAGTAGTGGTTCATGGATATATTTTTCAGACGAGTTAATAGTGGGATCCTTGCTTTTCCTAATATTTATATGTAATCTAGATTTTGGTGTGCAGGGAACAATTTCTTGTTTTGCAGATGATACAAAACATGGGGTCATTGTATACTGAGGAGGATGTTGACGAGTTTTGACGTGGGCAAATAGATCTCAAATGAAGTTCAATGCAGAGATGCGAGGTGATACATTTTGGTACAAAGAATATGGAGGGCCATTATAAAATAAATAGTATTATTCTAAAGGATAAGCAGGAGTAAAGAGACTAAGGTGCACATGTGCACAACTCATTAAAGGTGGCAGGACAGATAGAGAAATTTTAATGAAATATATAGTATTCAAGACTCCATTAAAAGAGGCATAGAATACAACAGGGAGATTGTGTTGAACTTACATCAGACCCTGGTTAGACCTCAGCTGGATTTTTGTGTACAGTTCTGGCCACCACACTTTTGAAAAGATGTCAATGGATTGGAGAAGTGCAGATAAAGTTTATGAGAATAGTTTCCATGATGAGAAACTTCAATTACAATGATAGATTGCAGAAATAGGGAACTGTTTTCCTTGGAGAGAAGTTTAAGAGAAGAACTGCTTGAAGTTCTCAAAGTTTTCAAAATCATGAGAAGCCTGGACACAGTCAATAGGGAGAAACTGTCCCCACTTGAGAGAGAATGAAAAACCAGAAGGATGGGGTTCAGAGGAAGTTTATAGGAATGATCCCAGGGACAAAGGGTCATATGAGGAGCAGTTAAAGACTTTGGATCTGTACTCAATGGAGCTTAGAAGGATGAGGAGGAATCTGATTGGAACTTATGGAATCCAGAGAGGCCTGGATAGAGTGAACGTGGAGAAGATGTTGCCACTAGTAGGAGAGACTAGGCCCCAACGGCACATCCTCAGAGTGAAGGGACGACCCTTTAGAACTGAGATGAGGAGGAACTTCTTCAGCCAGAAGGTGGTGAATGTGTGGAACTCATTGCCACAGAAAGCTATGGAGGCTGATTAATTAATAGATAGGTTCTTGATTAGTAAGGGGATTGAGGGTTATGGGGAGAGGGCAAGAGAATTGGGGAGATTGAAAAACATGTCAGCTGTGATCAAATGGTGGAGCAGACTTCATGAGCTGAATGACCTAATTCTGCTCCTAAATCTAATGGTCTTGTGCATTTGTCCAAATGTCTTCTCTGAGGCTCATTGTCCAATTTTATTAATTCTGAAGTTTCTTGCAGCATTAAAAGCACTGTATAAATGTAACTTGGTGTGTCTAGATGGACTTATTAACCAGAGTCAAGCATCATTTGTAACCACATTCTAAAGTACAAATTTTCCAGGCAGTGGTGGTGTTGCAGAAGTGCAACGCAATGGTTGCTGAATATTTGCTGCTGATATTCCCTCCCTTCCCCTCTAATCTGGACACTAACTGTGCTCCAGTTGTTCCCCATCAGCTAATAGAGTATAAAAAATAATCTTGGGGTGTCTCAGCCAGTAGGAAAATCATTGCATTGATGTCAACATGAAATGTTATTATTTTGGTATGGTGGCACACTATTAATCGTCTCTTCTTTCTGTTTTCCCTCCAGCAACAGAACAGGCCATACCAAAGTAAAATAAAAGCAACTGTGGCCCCCCTCTCATTAGTCTGTCAATCCACCAACCAGCCTAAGAGTTTCCGGCCTGTATTGCCGATGAGTACTTGCTCTTATAGAACAGCCCCATTTCCAGATGATGATGATGAGTTTTTGACAGGAATCTGATGCATTTTATTTTAATTTGCCACATACTGATGTTAAACCATTAGAATGCCACTTTTCTGAGACCACTAGCTATTCTGAGAAAGGGGTTGAAAATTTCATTGGTTTCAGTTTGGAGAAACTATTTTTCTGGCCTGAAAATGTAGACTGGCATTTTTCTGATAGTTCTTTACAAAGTTGCTGATGGACTTTTGATGTTACAGCCAGTCACTGCTGCCTGTCATGATACAGATTGCTCATAGATTGCTGGACAAATTTCTATTGCTTAGGTCTTAACCTTGAAAGAACTTATCCATCACTTCTGAACTCCAAATTTAAATGTAGCCAGATGAACAAGATAAAAGAATCTCCTCTGTCTGCTAGCTACATTGGTCCTGGGCGAGTCAAAGTTTGGGAACATAGAAACAGGAGTAATCAATCAGTCCCTCAAGTGTGTTCCAATTTGTATGGTGTTGGACTAATGCCTGTCGGGTGTACAATTCACTAATTAGACAGAGTTCACAATCCCACTGCTAATAATTGGAAAGATGTGATGTTGAAAGTTTTGGCTGGGGCACCTTGTTGGCACAGAGTGCAGTGTTTTACTATTTATGTAACCTGCCCTGAATAGGAAGTGCTAAATGTAGACATTTGGTGCCCAAAATGAAAATGCTCTGTTTATTCTGATCGTTTTCCTTGATAAGCAAAAAAGACTTTTAAAAAAAATCTTATTTCTCCAAAGCCCTTCAACCTTAGTTACAACTTCAGTGCAGCTTTGACTCACATATTAGTCACTCGTAAACCTTACACTAAATTACCCTGTGGAATAATGAATACGATCAGTGATCTAATGCAAGTTGAGATTCATGGAGTTGGAGGTTGAATTCCTAATCTCAGTGTGCTATCATCAGGGAGATAAATATGTCTCCCAACTGACTGCCTCTATATTGCAGTTGGGAGAACCTTGGGGGGGCAAAGAGTCATCGCTTTGCTGATGGAGAAATGTGAAGCCGCAAAGATAAGGTGAATGAATGGGAACAAAACACAAAGCGGGTATGTGGAGATTTCAATTCGAAAGTGCCAATTAAAAGTTAGGAGAAAGGAATAAGTACCTCATCTATTGCTTGTACTAGGTAAATCAGAAGATGATTCTAAGCATTATAACAAGCCTGGCTTTTTCACTGCATTCTTAACTCTAACAGGCACTGCGAATAACCTGTTCAAGTTAAATGAGTAACTTTTATATAGCTATTATCAAGAGCATTCCCCCTCTGGTAATTTACTGTTAAAATTCCAGAAAAATGTTCTGTTGTACAATTTGCTGTACAGAAGTAGTTTTAATTGTACTGAGAGATTTCTATTGTAAAATGTTACTATATTTAATAGTCAATAAAATATAGCAATAAATTTCTTCCAATGCTTCTGAAAAGACATTGAGCAGCTGTAATTTATGTAAACTTGCAGAAACAAGTCAGAAAACTTAGCTATTAATTAATTGATGGCGCGCTGCTGCAATATGTAGGGTTTAACCACACAAGTGTCAGCTGGAAATTATGGATTCTGCAATTTAACTCCATCCACCTGCCTTGGATCCATTGCCCATAATACTGTAGCCTAGTGCAAAATTATCAATTTCAGTTCTGAAATTTTCATTTGACTTATCTCATTTAGCGTTTTGATGGATAGGGTTTCTCCACTGTTAGAAGATCTGTCTTCCTGATGAGATATTAAACCTTATAGAGTCATAGAGTTATACAGCATGGAAACAGACTCTTTGTTCCAACATATCCATGCTGACTCATGCTTAGTCAAGGCTGTCTTGGTAAGTCAGAAGGTGGGGAGCAGCGAGCAGAACTAGTCATTGAGGTTTGAATACAAAAAGAAGAATGAGTTTTATTTGCTCAGTGGCTGCTCAGGAGACAGTCTGTGGATTCCTGAGGAAAACAAGCGATTCATATCTGGGAGGCTCTGAAAATATTCTAGCAATAATATTGAAGACTTGTGCTTCAGAACCAGCCATACCCCTAGCCAAACTGTTCCAGTAAGCTACAACAGCTGTATCTACCATGCAATATATAAAATTGCCCAGATATGTCCTGTACCCTAAAAGCAAGGCTGATCCAAACCAGCCAATTACCAATCTACACTTATCAGTCGATTCTTGATCATTAAAGTGATGGTAGGTGTTGTAAACAGTGTTATCAAGCACTGACTGAGCAATAACTTGCATACTTATACTCAGTTTACATTCTACCAGGGTCATACGGCTCCTGACCTCACTATGGTCCTGGAACAATCATGGAGAATATATCCGAACTCCAGAGGCAAGGGGAGTGTGTTTGCCCATGATATCAAGGTATCATTTATCAGCATGTGCCATCAAATTTCCCTTGCAAAATTGGAGTCAATGGGAATAGAGAAAACTCTCTACGGTTAGAGTCACAGCTAACACAGAGATGCTTTTGTTGTGGTTAATCATCCCAGTGCCAGAACACTGCTACATGAGTTCATCAGGGAAGTTTCTTTGACCTAACATGCTTTGTTTGTATGTTTGGGTCAAGATTTTTCTGTTTTATCTATAAAAATTGCTCTTTCTGTATATTTCTTCTTTTGTGCAATAAACTTATGGTCTGTTGTCAAAGAACATTTGCAGTCTCAACTTGGGATATGCTGAGGTGCAAGTCACTATATAGAAAATGTGATGAAAGTGGCATATTTTTATTTTTATACATATATATTTGAAATTGGATTTCAAAATAGATGACAATCAATTTTGGTTAGGTCAGTGAAAGTTTCTTTCTTCAAAGGTCAGAAGATCATTAAAAACAGGGAGCTATGTGCATCATTTCCAAGAAAGCGTGTGATTGCATTTGAGTGCCTAGAGAACCCTGTAATCTTAATGGATAAATTTATATTGTTGAATTTATCACAGGCAGAATAAACGTATTAAGACAATTAGCGTATTTTTGACTTCATAACAAAAGTTCAAAGATTTAGTTGAGAAGAATCCAGAGTTCAGATCAGAAGGTAGAACAGTTTCTCCTAACAGAAGAATCAAATCAGTTCAGAAGTGGTTTCTAGTCTATGGAGTATTCAGCCAGGATAGCACTTCCAAGTTGAGAAAGTTTAGGCCATCAGAATTATGAAAGGTCATGCCAGAGGACTCTGAAAAGAATGGTAAAGTTGTCTCCACAGTTCATGGAAAAGAAACTGGGAAATATCAGTTAAGATTTGAAAGCTGAAATAGGAGTAATATTTCTCTAGGATTGATTCTCTGCAGTGGTGTTAGGAAACAGGTTGAAACTTTGTTTTGATGTTTGTATTCAGATATTCTGTCTCATATATATTGTTTTGTTTATTTCTTTTACATAATAAACTTATGTTCCATTGTTAAAGAGCATCTGCAGCCACAAGTGAATATATCCAAATGACTAACCACCACTTTAACCAAGTGCAAAAATTAAACATAATCTATCAAGACATGTTTTATTGTCCAGCATTACCTTTAATTCTGGTCACAAAAAAATGTAAATCATTCTTTATTTCATTTTTACTATTGTGTTTGCACATCAATTGTAAAAGCAGAAAGGCTTCTGTAGCTATTTCACATTCACATAAGCACAAAGCAAGGCTTGAAATTCGCAAATTTACTGTTGATTATATTCTGTAAATATGAGGGGGAATTTGAACCACTATTTGTAAGGGAAAACTCACAGGGTTGCGGGGAAGTTAGTAGAGTTATTTGGACAGCTCTTTTGAAGAATTGACAAATGGGCTGAATGCCTCCTTTTGTGCACAATTCTGTAATGGGTTTCCTCTTAGCTTAACTAAAAGTTAACTACCCATTTTAACTAGTAGACTAAGTGTAGGTTATTTTTCATTGTGAAACCCCTCCTCCCACCTCCTCACTTACACAGCATTTTTGCACGCTTTCGAACCATTATAAATTTATTTCCCCTTTTTAACTGAATATTGACAGCTTCTCATGCAAATACTGAATAAGGCAATCTAATCTACATGTGACTCCAGTTGAATGCCAATGTGATTTACCTTTAAACTTTGACTGTATCTATCAAACCATTCAAAGAAAAGAATATTTTCAGGCAAACAAACTCTATATATGTAGATCAATCAGTTGTCTAGTTTGGAAACTCAAGCATAATGGTAGATTTCTGCATGAGTCTGAAACCAACTGATGAGAAAAAAAATCAGCTGAGCATTAAAATAGAGAAGTAAAACAAGAACAAAATATTAAAATCAAAAAGATCTGAAACTAATGTGGAACCAAAGTATGTCTGACTTTTAAAAGAAACAAGGAAGCTTACAAAGAGAACTGAAACACACACATTTGTTAAAGGGCTAGTATATTCTATTTATAGTTGCTGGAACTACTTGCATTTCCATTATGAAATGTAGCTCAGTAAAATACACCGTTGTATTATTAATTGCTTGACTGATTATTTAAATCCAATGGGGAATTTAAGAAAAGAAACTTATTTACCCAGGGGATGGTGCAAATGCAGAACTTGCTACCACATGTAGTAGTTGTGGTAAATAGCGTGGTTCGATCTAAGCAGACGCTAACAAAGTACCTAAAAAGGAGAAAGGAATAGGTTGTGCTGATAGGGTTAGCTAGGAGGAAGCTGATGTGGCATAGGCCTAGTTGTAACTTTCATAAATTCATACAGTGCAGAAAAGGCCCTTCGGTCCATCGAGTCTGCACTGACGTAACTTCCATTAAAAGTGCACGTATCCCATATCTTTGAATGTAATGATATTTGAAGTGCTCATTTAAATATTTTTGTAAAGGTTGTAAGATTTCCAGCCTCCACTATCTTCCTAGGCAGTGCATTCCAGATTCCCATCACCCGCTGAGTGAAAACGTTTTTCCCATATCCCCTCTGAATTTCCTGCCCCTTACCCTAAAACTATGCCCCACGTGATTAACCCCTCAATCAAGGGGAACAGCTGCTCTCTATTCACCCTGTCGATACCTCTCATAATCTTATACACCTTAATCATAT